GCAAATTTTTCAAGTGACTTTCAAGTGATACCCTTGAAGATCAAATGAACCGATGCGATTTCTAGGTAATGAATAATAGTTCGCACCTTATCAAGATGTAATCAAAGTTTCGAGTATAGCAAATAGCAATATTCAACAAAACAATAATTATTTTTCATATCTGAGAATCTCAGATTCTAATTGATTGTTAGTTGCAGTGTTATCAGAGTCGTCGCAATGGTATAAATATGTATGCATACATAAAGGAGAGGGTTGGACGACTGTCTGAGTTAAGGACGAAACTTGTGATTCCTTTGGGTATGCAGTCAAAGTAAAACAAACATTGTTATTGCTACGAATGCTACGGGACCTCATTCCCCTCAGCTGCTGCCTCGGGATGTAATAATAATATTATTTACTACCTTGATGTAAAAATAACTACTTTTCTCCAATAGCCATCCATCCTTTTCAAGGAGTTAAGTCTAATTATTTCTGCCAAGATAGTTTTTATCATTCAATGAAGGATAGTCAATAAAGCTATAGCTTCCTCCGTTATAATCAACTCGAATTCACTGTTCATGACTATAATGGATTTTAATTAGAATTGAAAAGAAGTGCTTTCATGGTGACGATATAGGTCATATTGCTAGTGGTGAAAACAATTCAATATGTCTACACCTTATGTTTGAGCGAGACTTTATGCAGTGGACTGTAATTTTTAGAGATGAAATTCAAACCGGCACAAGAAAAGTAATAACGATACTGCCACTCACCATGTGTCTCAGGAATACAGGAACTGTTGAAAACAGGATCTTCTGCCTAGCTAGGATCTTTCTTGTGTAGCACCATACTCTTGATTTGCATAGTCAACAACGGAACTTTATATCACCATGATATTTAATTCAAAACAGTATGTTTTTGAGTATTTTAATTGCGCGAGCGTATCGTACGAAATCTCGATCGGTTCTCTCTCCTTTTTCTGAGCACCCAGTGGCGGAGTTACAATCCTTGTGTCTGAGTATTATTAATATGCTAGTTTGCTAATTCAATAAGTTTCACTTACACATTGATAGTTGATTATTAAATAAAATTAAAATTAGTTAAACGGACGAACCACCTTATTGGTAGCAAAGAATAATATTATCCACAAGAACTTATACCTCTCGGCTCACGGCTGAAGCCTCGGAATTTAATCTTGGTCCCTGGGTAATAATACAATTCTTTACTATACCTTGGTGTTTATATAAATAACTATTTTGTACCTTGGTTCACTTTCACACATGCTAATCCTAGAAATGATAAGAATATACCATTTTTCTATTTGCAGAATCACCAGAATAAGTATGAGGTACCGGAGGCAATCAAGATCCACATGATTTGAAAACGGAATAAATCGTATATTGGGTGATTTATTGATTTAGAGAAACAAAATCCCGTTTTTCATCAAGTTTATTCATTTTTACTTACAAAAAAGTACAAGCTTAATATTTCGTTAATTCATTGATATATTTTGTTGATTCAATAGATACTATATTTTAATTTGACAAATTGTTATGTTGAATCAAATTCAGTTTTATTGCTTTTGGAATCAACTGAAATTTCATATCAACAGAATAAGAATCTCGCAAACTAAAGTCGACTTATCGTCGTTGTCCTCTTCAACAGGCACACCGTTGAGACATTTTCCTTGGCAGTAGGAGGCACGCCGCAAACCAGTTCAGCTAAATTTGCCACCAATCCTTGGTGCAATGACAAAATATCGGTTTCAGTAGGACCCCTGGTACTGGTGGATCTTCATTGTAATTGGCGCCTGGGTGTCTCTCACATGTTTTCAACCTAACTCTTCAGATGCAACAGCTCATTCCTGAGTCACTGCTGAACTTGGTGGAAGGTGCGCTGAAAATTCTATTCAACTGAAGTAGTGGGAGTACTGGAAGTAGGTGGGTGGAAGTTGATGTATGGCTTATTATTTGCCAGTGACCTGATTGCTTGAGGAAGGGCTGTCTTGCTGGTGCCCTATATCATTTGACGAAGCACGCATCTTCCCAGCCTCTTCAACCTTGTGCTGTGAGTGGAGGAGAGATGGGTGAAGTCTGCAGCTTCCTTAATGTTTCTAGATCTCAAATACATGTTGTGTCGGATAATAAATGTGAGGACAGGATGTGTTCACATCCATGTTGCTGTATCTCTTGGTTGGACAATTTCATTGTTTTAGTTTTTTCTCGTCCGGGTTTCAGCAGCACCATGTCTCGGGAGGTAAGAGTTCGAGCAATCAGAAGAACAGATTTTGGTGAAAAATAATGTGGGGCTCTTCAATAGATTATCCAGTACATATTTTCCTGAAGAAAATTTAATTCTCTACAAATTTTTTGTCTTCTGAAACGAATCTCTTTGACAATATGAAGGGATGTTTGATGAAGAGTGTCAGATATAATAATCTTTTATTGAAAAATGTCCACTTTCCAGAACGTGCCGCTTGGAGACGGTTAGAGATTCGAAAAAATGTATGAGAAGAAAATCGTGGAGAATTTCATCAGCTTCCATCTGATTCTACGATGAACTATTTCCGACATATAAACTATAAATCCAGAAACGGCACCTTCCTCCCTGCCCTCACCTCCTAGACGTCAGGACTTTTAGTATGTTCACTCTCTGAATATCTCAAACAAGTTCCTGAAGAAATCGCTCAGGTCCCTGACCTACACCAAGGATTGTGGTAGTGGCAAATGTGGATGCCAGAAAGCAATGCTGAACTTTCCTGCGATGTGCCTGCCAATGGAAATGTATCAACGGCGTGCCTGTTGATGAGGATGACGACGATGAAGATGAACGAAGAACCTTTGCCAGGACCCTTACGGCCAAAGAATACGTGAATCCAGAGAAAGTGGAGTGTTTGAAATAATCAAGTTATTTAGAGAACAATAAGATTAAAATAATACAATTTTTTATTTGTCAAGTTATTATTTCCATCTACTACATGAAATAACCTGTTTTCAAGTGTGGCAATACATTGATATACAGAGAGTTACATTGGGAAAGGTAAATACTTTAACCGGGGATATCATATATTAATCGTCATAATATTCCATAATCGCAAAAGCTGCTTCACAGAAACTCGGATTCTTGTTCCGTGCGAAAAGCTACTTTACACCTCAACAGCTCCTCATGATCTACAAAGCGCAGATACGGTCTGTTCTAGAATACTGTTCCCACATATGAGGTTCAGCACCAAAACATACGCTGATGCTCTAAGATTCCATTCAGAGAAGATTGATTTGAAAGATTTATTTAGCTTTCGCTAGTTTCACATCACATTTTTTACAATTATAAACATATTTACAAAGTATAAATTCTTGAAATAACTATTAACTATACGTATAAACTATACTAAATCTTAAAGTAAACTTTTCGTAACATATTCTCGAAAATTTTAATATTCGGTGCAACTTTGACAATAAGTGGAAGGCTGTTGAAATGATGCAATCCCTGGACGAAAAGAGATTTTTGTAGAACATTCGAATGACATCTTGCTACATGGAAATTTTCTCTTGACCTGACGTTATATCTATGCATTTCCGATCTTTTCACAAGGAAAGATTGCAGATACATAGGAGCCTGTTTGTTCATGATTTTGTATATCAGTAGGTACTAAATTTGATTCTTCGATCATTTGTTCAACATTTAGAAATTTCAGCATCCTAAGCATATCTGTAATCTTTGTGTGTCTATCACATTGGAGTAATATTCTCATACACTTATTTTGCAGCTTTTGAATTCTCTGTATATCACTTTTTGTACAAGAGGTAAGTAAAGACATACAATATTGAAAATGTGGATAAATAATGGTGTTATATACTACTCTTCTAGCCCAAAATGTTAGTTTTCTAGATATTCTTCCATAATATCCAATTTTTTCCCTAATTTTTTACAAATATTATTCACTTGAGGCCCAAAGTTCAAATATGAATCTACTTGTACCCCTAAGTACTTAATCTCCTGCACAAAGTCAATCACTTCCTGTTCTATATGAATAACGTGGTTTTCGTTTGAGAATGACTTACAGTTATTTTTTGAGCCCAGAACCATACATTTCGTTTTCTTTACATTAAGCTTCAACCTATTATATTTCAACCAGTTACTTAATTCTTTGAGTTCTGCATTCATTTGAATAACTACTTCCTCATGATTTTTTCCACATATCGAAATCAGGGTATCGTCAGCAAACATATTGACAAAAGAATTTTGTAAAGCATTGCCTAAATCGTTGATATACAAAATGAACAATAGCGGACCCAATACACTGCCTTGAGGCACCCCATATTCAGTCCCAACTTCAGTCATCCGCCTGGTGGGTGACGCCACACTCACTCACTCTTTGCCATCATTGGAACACCGGAAATGTTCTTCGGAAATCTCTGCTATCATCTCTTATTCATTAGCAATACCAGTCAGACGAACTAGACAAGCCCAGTCAGCACATCCTATCGTTGTCAACCTCGAAAGATGTCGAACAGCACTATATATCAAAACTAATTCATCCATAGAACGGCTAGGCTCTGGAATTCATTGCCTGAGGAAGTATTCCCAACAACATATAATCTCCAGAAGTTCAAAAAAAATTCCAATACCTACCTCCTACCCCTATCCTCCCTAGGAACGCACGATGTTCTTTGAACATTATAGGGATTCCCTTTCGTGCGCTCCAAAAAAAAATGTATTCCAGTGCTGATTTTCATCCAATTAGAATATTTCATATATTATCATAAATTCTGAGTATAAGCAGGGTAAATCCAACTTATAAGATATATAGGTACTTATATGTGAAAATTGCCATACCTACAATTGAAAATTTTGTGAATAATAGGATGTGCTCTCGAATTCAAGTGGCTTGATAGATACGCATCTTTTATACAATGAGAAGGAGATAGATTATCAGATATTCGATTGATTTAGGAATAATAGTGGAAATCACGATATTTAATACATCGCCCTAAGTCAAGCTCATTATTAGTTTACAATAAATACTTGCAAGTGGTAGATAGTGCAACCAATTTATCAATTTATAGAAATGTTACCGATAAAGCTCTACGATCCTGTGTATGCTTCAGTGTTAGCAGGTAAACAAATATATATTTTTCAAATTCTAGAATAGAACAGATCAAACCGAAATCATGTTACTTGATATCTTGGGAATTTCTCTCCTCGTTCCTATAAAATAAACATATGCGTATTATTTCAATATATTTGTAGTGGGACAAATCAGATGATTTGCTTCAAAATGTTACTGCGTTCAACAAATTTTTCTATCAGGGAGCCACTTTGTTTGAAAAAATTATTGAAGGAAAGAAATAAAGATATATTAAAAAAACATCGAATTTTTTCTTATCTTTGGACGTTTCGGAAACGAATCTGCTCTCGTTCTCAACATGAAAATGCCGAACCTACTATAAAGTTCACTTTGGAAATTGAATCTGTCAATCAGTTACCCAAAAGTAATATCTTCAGATATATTTATAACACAAGAAAATGGATATATATTAAGAAATATATTGAGAATTCGCATTCTCCATGTGATGATAATATTAATTCTTTCTCGGTTTATTCAACAGAAAACAACTACTTTCCTGGCTATATGCCACGACGAACATTGAATTACATCTATCGAACACACACGATATGCGAATTTGAAAACAAAATCTTCTGAAGTAGAGAATTTGCATTCTCCTTCATATAAAGATATGCATATGAGATCATTCTGAATATTCAACAGAAAACAACTACTTTCCTGGCTATATGCCACGTGGAACATCGAATCATATCTGTTGATTATCCAAAAAGAGAGCATGAAAAATCAAAATACTCTGAAATTGAGAATTGACATTATCTCTCAAATCGAATATAATATTATGATGTATTATGATATAAAGATATAACTCACTAATATGTTCAGTATTGAAATGAGCCAAGTCAAGCAGATTCCTTGATTTTTGTCTTCTGGTTGTTATCTGCTTTTCCAACGATTTCAAGATTCCTCTTCTCCAAACTTTTTTCAATACAAATTGTCACTGACAAGCTAATGAATTTATCTTTTAGGCTCTCTGATAGAAAAATTCTGTAACATTTTGGAGCAAAACATCTGATCTGTCCTTACTACACGTATATTGAAATAATATTCATATTTTAATTTAATAGAAACGAGGAGAGAACATTTCAAAAAATCTGGAATAATGAATGTATCACCTCCTCGATTAACCTACAGACAGTATTTTCCATGCTCTATTTGGAAATGTTGAGAACTTTCCGAAATTTTTATCAGGGGCGTGAAAAATATGTGGGGCTAAGGGTACTTATTCTCCCAACTTTTTTGTTATGCGATTTTCGGCAGTTCGATCAGGAAATATGAAAATCTCAACATTCATACTCAAAAATGGCACTCTTGTTCATTTTCTATAGTATTCACCATTCTCGAGATGGATCGATTCTAAAACTGTGCTGCGTACTAGAAATAGTGCTTTTTCCTCAAGAGGATACCGAATATTTCGAAAATTTGATTTTGATGGAAAATAACCCTCTTTCAACACCTATACTTTCGATGTTTTCGGAAAAATTATTGAATCCATAGTTTTGCATTCACGACTATTCGCCATTTGCAATACGAAAAGTATTCGCAATATGCATTCTGTGAAGTATGAGACCACCTTTCTGCATGTGTCTCGACACTAGTGTAACTATAGGTATAGCTTGAGTTATCTGGGTAAAATCTATGATTCCAAACGGAATGAATTTTAATTCAGTTGTTCCAATTATTAAAAACTTAAAATTTTGCCTTTGTTTGAACGAAACAAAAATATAATACAGGGTGTCCCATAAGTCATGTAACAAAAAAGTGGGGTGGTAGAGGAGGTAATTTGCAATCAAACTAACGGTATATGTGGTAATCAGATTGTTGATGGTCATGAGTTATTAAATATTTCTGATAAACGCGACCCATTTGAAAAAAAAAATAGTAACAAAAAGGCGTTTTTGAATGACCCCATATGTTATACCATTTCGGAATTTACATTAAATGTGCAACTTTTCCTTTCAATTGGTTACCTCAGTGGTGTATTTTTTAATCTGCCAGCGGCATTCAAATATCGACTTGAATATTTCATTAAATGACAAAATTCAAGAAAAACAACACTTTTTTCATGTAATTGATAAGAAGTAACTCATGGAAAAAGGTGCATCCATGTGGATGAAAATTGTAGAAGAAAAAATCACAAATGTGACATTGTTTTATTGCAAGTAAATTTTTTATTGAAGAAATAATAACTATTGAAACATCAACAATTGAATAACTACATATTATACGGTTAGTTTGATTGGAAATGACCCTCCCTACCACCCCAAATCTTTTGATCCATGACTTATGGGACACCCTGTATAGGGTGTATACTATCCAATATCTTCGTCGTTGGGTCGATAATTTATTATTATAAAAAAGCTAACCTTCGGTTGGTGTATAGAACATTACATTTTTTGCAATTAGAAGTGCAATGCGAAATTTTAAGTTCAAGAATCAAGAATTAAAACAACTGAATAAAAATTTCATCTTTCGAATTTTGAAATTAGTGACCACAAATAATCTTCGAATGAGATGCCCCATGAAACCTCTTGTACCATTGAAAAGATTTGAAAAAAATGTTAAAATACATCATGGCCGCCAGGACCGCCAGGAATAAAATGTTTTGGAATAATCTTGAATGTTTGTAATGGCTATAAATCAATATCAAAGAAATGTATCATCAGTAGATAAATTTAAATTTTTCACCGCCATATTGGTATCACAAGTTGGGGGAAGCAAGTGCTGCAGGTCAATTCGATTTATAGGACATAATCTGTGTTGAGTGACTCACTTTCTTTATCGTTCGTTAGATTTTTGTGTACCGCTTCGTCATAGGAAGGTATAGGTACTGCAGGAGTCCATTTGACACGTATGATTGTTGATTTCATATTTAACGATTGTAGGGTGCTAATGGTGCGTATTCCTATTTTCTGATCATTTTTTGAAGTAAGTAAAAGTGTGTGCACAAATTCACTATATTTGTTATTTTCAGTCGGACTATTGGCTTTCAACATCGGCGCATCGCTTACTTGGTCTTCCCCAGTGGGCCCCAAACTCCGCAACGACACTACTACACCATTCGACCAACCAATCACCATGACCGAAGTCTCTTGGATGTCCTCCTTGATGACTCTAGGAGGGGCAGTAGGCTCGCTCATCTTCGTCCATCTAGTGAACGCAATAGGAAGGAGAAAAACCTTGCTCTCCTTAGGAGTCCCACTATTCATAGCATACGTCCTAATGGCGACAGTACAGAAAGCCGAGGTTTACTACGCTGCCAGGATCCTCATAGGCCTAGCTGCAGGTGGAATTTTCACTGTTGGGCCTCTGTATTGTGGCGAGATATCCAGTAAAGCCAATAGAGGTATTTTGAACTCCATCATGAGCTGTGGGACCAACCTTGGGGTACTATTTTCCTACGCTGTGGGACCATGGATGGGAGTGGTTGCATTCAACTGCCTGCTTGGCGTGTTCCCTTTGATTTTCTTGGCATGCTTCTTTTTTGTTGGCGAAGAAACGGCACACTTCTACCTCGTGAACAATAAAGAAGAACTGGGACGACACGCATTGAAGAAACACAGAAGCGCGAGCGATAACGTCGAAGAAGAACTTCAGCAAATTAAGAGAAAGAAAGAAGAGACCCAAGGGAAGGTTCTATCCACTCTCAAGTCCGGACCATTCATCAAAGCCATGATTATATCCGTTGGGCTACTGATTGCCCAACAAATGAGCGGTATCAACGCTTTTTTGATGTACAGCCAGAATATTTTCTTCATGGCTGGATCCAATTTGGATCCAGCTATATGCTCTATAATCGTGGGACTTGTGCAGTTTGGTAGTAACGTTACTTTCACTTTTTTCGTAGATAGGTTCGGGAGAAAGACAATCCTCAGATTCGCGGCCCTCAGTTTGGCCTTGTGTGAAATACCTTTAGGGGTTTACTGTTACCTTAGTGATGAAGGAGTTGACGTGAACGCTGTGAGATTCCTTCCCATATTGTTGTTCACTCTATTCATATTGGCTTACAACCACGGCTTTGGACCTTTGCCATGGATACTTTTGTCTGAAGTGTTTCCGACAAACGTGAAAACTATCGCATTCTCAATTGCCACTTGCATCAATTGGACACTGGCTTTTTTGATCACGAAATACTTTTCGACTTTCGTGGAGTCCATTGGACTTGGGCCGACCTTTTGGTTGTTCGGTGCCAGCTGTATCGCAGCTCTGATATTCATTCACATTTTCGTACTTGAAACGAAAGGCAAAACGCTGGAAGAAATTCAGGACGACCTAGAAAAGTTAGTATACTGTCAAGCTTCGGAAATGTGAATGGGAAAACATATTCATCTCTACTAGAAGTGTTCAATAGAATCTCATGATAGTTGATACCATTCGCATAACTGTTATATGTTTAGAAGACTTCAAATTTCGATATAGTCGTGTAGTTATTTACTTCTGCATCCGTTGTGCACTAAGTATAAGTATGAACTCAACCAGAAGTATTATTTTGTATTATAAAATTCCGAGCTGTCTTTTTTTAATAGTAGATTTAGCATGTACTGCAAGTTGATATTTGAGATTTTGCTGAAAAAAAATTATAAACTACTTATGTCAACTTCGAAATTGTTGAGTGAGCTATAGAAACGAATAAATTAATTAATCGTATGTTGTATTTTTATTAAATTATCGATCTTGCTTCCATTCGTTTTTTCTCTATCGTTCAGTTTCATTTTACTATGGCCAATTTTGATAACTCTGTAGTTAATATCAAACAGGGTGTTTCAGATATAAACGTACATACGATACCTGTAGATAGAGGACACTTTGATGGTTCCAAATCACCCCCCATTGCTGAGATACAGGACGTTTTCTTGATTTTGGCTGAATCTTCATGTGGTTATGATTTTTGATCCACTTTGTATGATCCATTCATACTTGACTTATATTACCCAGCAATACTCAATGAACATCGGGATCAGAATCCAGGTTCGTCTTGAGGAAAAACAAGGAACACTATTTATTTCAAAAACAACACTCTGTATGGCAAAATTTTGTAGATTTGTTTCGATATTTGGAAAGCCGGTAAAAAACGAATAAAGTGACCTTTTTATGAGCGCGCATTCGATTTGACAGCTGATGTTTTATAATTTTTTGAAATAGCTTCATTTTGAGGCATTTTCCATTGAACTCGTGATACAAAATCCAATTTTAATACAAAAAATAACAGTTTTCAAAGTTCAACATCATTAGAGTCAAATTAGGTGAACAATCGATGGATTTGTTCGTGTGACAGAATAACTTGTATATGATTTTAGAAAAATTCTAGGGCTCATTTTTAATTCATGAGCTGCGGTAAAGTAGGCTGTGCACAAAATTCTGATATTCTGACAGTTCACAATCACTAGTGTGATATTATTGGTAATCTTAAGTTAATTGTTGTATATCCTCAATGTTTTCGATAATATCACACTAGTGATTATGAATAACTGTCAGAATTGTAATAGTTATTGATGTGCCAAGTGGAGGGTAATATTCACCCGAGGGTGATTTTATTTTTCGCGAAAAAATAATCTCATTATAATAAAAAATCAATGTTGAAAAGCGGTTCATTGCTCCTGGCATTTTCTTCACATTTTTCTTCCCATGGTAGGTATGGCATTTGTTGATATTTTGACGTTTGTTGAATATTGCTGTCATCATCTGATTCAGTGAATATCACACACAAAAAAAGAATCTCTTGTATTGAGCATGACTGCATTGATCCAAGAAAATAATTTGTTTGTATATAACGAAAGAGATCATATTCTTGTTCCAAAACAATGATTTATTCAACAACTCTCTTGTAGGAAAATCAAGATATGCATGGTTGGAGACGTTTGTTATGAAGTGAGAATTGAAATAATTCATATTGACAAAATCATTTACTTATTTCAGGAAAACCACAATTTTGAGATATGGAATCCATCCACCAAATGAAAACAATCATTTTCTCAATTTGCAACTACGGATTACTATTATTGAGAATTGTTCTATTTCATTTCAAAATGAACGATTTATTTAAGTCAAAATTCCGTGAATTTTCAATGAACACATTGATATTTTCGATCCGATTTTATAAGTTTTTTATAATGAATATTGAGCTCATTCTCTCCAATGGAACTATTTTCTTGTATCAAAATTTTGACTGCTTGGATAAAAATATAATAATGTTTTTGATTCAAAACTGTGAATGATTCCTAATGAGATAACTAAACTCCACAGAATATTTGTGAAGAAATATATATTTGTTCCTTTAGTTGACAATAATCCCATGTATAGGTATGTACATCTTGGATCAGTATTGTCCATCAAGACCCCAAATGGTTATAGAATAATCACATGCCTTGATTTCGTCTTCTTGAAGTTTCGCTGGAAATGATAACGGTTACAAACAATAACATAAGTATTATGATTGATTAAAATCTCACCTCTATAATATGTTATATCATCATACCAGTAATATCATGCCTTCTGGAAGATATCGGGTATATAGATTCGAGATACTCGGCAGGAAACTTTCTCTCACCTAATGTCAAGATCTTCTCAAGTCATTGCAATTCATTTGTAGATAATACTTCTTCATTCATCAACCAGTCGTCATTTTGCTACAAAAAAAATTTCGAATGAATAAATAAGCATATTTTCATAGCAAGATACTACATCCCTGTTATTTTGATTGAAAAATTGTTGATTCATTCACAATGACTATCGATATTTGGAAAGGTACCTACTTACCAAGGGAATTCAATGTTATACCCTCGGTTATACCTTCACCAGCTCTCTACAAGTTCTGCATTTGTTAGATATTTATATTCCAAGACATTTCCACCTATACACACTCGATAAAACATTCAGAATTTTCAAACTTCGCAGCTTAATGCCGTTTCGCCGTTGTGGGCCTGTCATAATGATGTGAGCATGGTCAATAATGATTGAAGACTGAGGCCTGAGTTTTGGCAACAGGATTGCTTACCCTTGATTTCCGAGAGCATATTATTTTCTTCCAAAGAAATACCCATTCATAGACTTGAATCAAGTAAATGAAGTATTGAATCAAAATGTGGCTTCTTCAATTAGAGAAATTATTAATATCATCAAGTTCGTCAAGTTGAAGATATTATATTCCTTTCATTTGAGAAAATTGATATTCATATCTTTGAATCAAGTAAATATGGCATTGAAGAAAACTATCAGGAGTCTTCGATTTGATGAAATTATAATACCAATATAATGAAATTAGAATGCTTCATTTGAAGAAATAATTATTTATATTTTTGTTTCAAGAAAATGGCGTAATGCCTCAACATATTAGGTTTTTGCATTTCAAGAAAACTGAATATGTCATTCGATGAAATGGACATTCTTTGATTTGAAGAAATTTATACTTATATTCTTGGATCAAGCAATAAATTTATTGAAACAAAATAGTACGCTTCTGCGAATTGAAAAATCGTTTTGATTGAGTTGAAGTAAGTAATTTAGTAATTCAATAATTACATTCTTGGTTTGAGAATATATTTCAATAATATGACACTATTCTCTTGAACATACCAGATTTCTCGACTCAAAAGAATATGCTCAATTCAAAGAAGATATACAATTGAATTTTCAAGAGAATGGGTTTTCTCATTCGAAGAAATTTTTTTTCTGTGTGCATTGCGGCTTTTTTTGTGCAGTCTTAAAGAAATAATGCGTTACCAATCATAATGCCCTGGGCGTTATGGGTCTGTTGATAGCAACCGTTGCCAAGATATTATAAAGGAGTAATGGAAGTGAAATAGTTATTTATGTATCAAGGGAATTATGAGGGCCTTAATTGCCAGTGGTTATTAAGGCTCTATAATTCCCGTGATACATAGATAATTTTATTTCTGACTGATTTCATTCATTAAATACCTTCCCGATTGAAAGTTAGACATGTTTTTCCGTATAGTTTCAATGTCATCAGTACGTCAGATGATGATCTTGACTACCGCGAATAAGAGATTCCTTATTGCTACGTTATTGCGTGGTTGTTGCTATGCATTTCTTATTTAATTTTAGCTAGAGGGAATTATAGCATCTATAACATCCCAAGGGAGTTATGACCCTCATTATAGATATCGCATAGCCTATATTTCACTGCAGCCTATAAATAAATAGTGAAGAATAAAAGGAATCCTCGAAAAGTTCTGAAATCATTGACAAGATATTTTGTCAAACGAACATATTATCTACCAATAATTCACATAATTTGACTATATTATGATGTTGATCTTTTTTGTACCGATCAAAACTGGATTCTGAATTAGGAGTTTAGCTAAAATGCCTCAAATTGAATGCGCGCTCGTATGAAGTAGGTCACTTTATTCAATTTTTCCTGCTCTTTCCAAATATCGAAACAGATCCACAAAATTTTGCCATTCAGAGTGTTGTTTTTTGAATAAAAGAAGTTTTCTGTTTTTCCTTGAGACGAACCTGGATTCGGGTGATGGGTAATATAAGTGGAATATTTCCACCAAGTATGAATAGATTATAAAAAGTGGTTCGAAAAATATGACCATTAGATGATCGAAGTGTCATCTATCTACAGGTATCGTATATACAGGGTGGGCCAAATTGGACCCTTTTAAAAGGAAAGTCCTATTCCCGTACTAGATAGAAAAAAACCTGATGTTGGTGCCTGTTGATCAAATCACATGACGAACTCAATGGTTACAATGTGTTTTTCGAAAGTTTAGATTTTCAAAAAGTGGCTGAAACTCATATTTTCGTCAAAACTCGTCGAAAAATTAAGCAATGAATTCGAGGAATTGAAAATAATAGAAATTTCATCAGTGGCGTGGAAAATATTGGAGGAAAGGTAACCACAAACTACAGGATGGAAAGTCCAGAATTACTTTTTGGTCTCAAAATGACCCATTCGAAGATGGAAACATATACAGAATTTGAATGCAAAATATTCAATCATTCTTGAATTCCTGAGAAAAAACTTTATTCATTTATCAGCACACTGTATCTCGAGAAACACTTAGAGACCATATATCCCTATCTCTGTAATTATGAAATCACGAGGGCTATCACCTGTCAAGCGTTGTCGGTCGAATTTCGCAACACCCTGTATAACGTGCAAGTTGTATAAAAAGATCTTTCACTAGAATTTAAAATATATAGGCTGTTTCGTTGAAACTGATTTGAACTCTAATTTGTCATTTTGCAATTCGCATCTGTTCTGTTGAGGATTGCCAGAAGAGACAGATGAAATCCTGTATAGACGAACGAGTTGTTCGACATATTTCAATGTTGACAACGAAAGGGTGTGTTGAGTGGGCCTGTTGAGTTTGTCTGAGTAATATTGCTAGTGATGGAATGATAACAGTGATTTTTGAGGAACATTTCCTGTGAAAGTAAGTATCTATAGAAAAGTGAAGAGTTGCCGACTTGTCTACGGTGTTCTAATGATGTCAAAGTATTAGTGAACGTTCCATCACTCACCAGGCGGGTGGCTCTTCTCTGGATAGAACCTAAGTATGTTTGGGCGCTGAACTCC